TGCTTTTCTCTCTTATTTAAGTACTATTCACATTTTTTTTTATTTTGAGGAATTACCAATATTTGATCTTATAGATTGTAGATATATGTTCTATTAGTCCTTTGTTGATCTCATGTTTCATATTTTCCCCCTTCTATGGTATGTCATATCATTTTTCCCTTAATATTTTAAAGTTCATTTTTAAATGACATATAATTACAGCCCATATCAGTTCCCCCAGCAATATTTATAGTTGATCCTCACAATAATACTAAAGGGAAGGTATTATAACATTCTATGACCTTTTCAAAAAAGGATTAAAAAGCACTTTGAGGATGAAAGATACTCCCAAAGTCTGTCAGTTTTATTTTTGAAAGCCAAATTTTTCCTATGCCATATATTTTGGTTAAAGTTTAAAGCCACCACTTTTGGAATATTTTATGTTTGACTAAAGATATTTTGTTGCATTAAGACTAGAGACATCTGATTTACCTCTTGAAATATTTAACATATTAACTTAGCCTGTTAACTTGAGGTTTTGAATGTATGCTTAGTGACTTCTAGTTAGCACTGGGTCAAGGAAAATCAATATTTTTTTTGACAGCCAAAACATATTTCAGATAAAAGTTATGGTTACAGGTGTAATGCAAAACTAAAAATCAGTGTTGTAAAAATAAACTACGATTTTATCTTTTATTTTATAAAATGTCATGAAGAGTAGATCTTCATTCATTCCAAGGGCTCTCATCCAGAAATCCATTATTTAGAGTAGTATTTTGATACAAAATGGATGAAAACTGAACAAACTAAGTTCACTAATGTAACATAAAGAATATTCATTTTTCTCTAACTTCTGATTTTAATAGAAAATGGATAAAAAGAACAATAAAATCTTTGTTAATTAAAATATAATTTTAATAAAAATAAGTGGTATAACATTGTAACTAAGCTCTCAATATCAAATTTTATCATATATTATAAGGTATAGAAAAGGTATAAGAATATGTACACTGGTACAGCTCACATATTTTAGTAAATCCTTTTATTATGTGTTTTCAGTTGTTTATATGGCTCCTTCACATGGTTAGCAGCTGGGAGTTATGCAACATCGAGTCCATGAAATGTTGTTCTACATAATTTCCAATGCCCTCCTTATGCAAAAATCTTAACAGTAGCAGAGTTGTGAATTTAAAATTTAGATAAATCATATATTTTAATCCAATATGAGAGAAATGACCTTAGTGTTCTATAATTCCAAAATACCTTATGAATTTCCAAAATCTCAGAAATTGATATCTGAATTCCAAAGGTGGGAACAAAGGGAATGTGGTGCAAATTGATACGCACTTGTAGGAAAAACACACATTTGGGAAGTAGACCTGGATTTATGTCTCCATTTTTCCTCTTATTAGTTATATATTTTTCCATCTTTAAACTTGGACTGTTAATACTACTCTAGGTTAGGTTACAGTAACAGACAACTTCCCAGACTTAAATGGCTTGTACAAAGGAGAGTTTATTCTTACTAGGGCTATATGACTGTCATGGGTTGTCTGGACATTGCCAATGTATCTGCTCACTGTGCTGGATAAAGAAATTGCTATATTAAAAGTTATGATTAGTTAAAGCAGAGCGAAAGACCTAACACAAATACGTACTTCACTCCAGAAGTCCCACATGTCACTTCCACTCACACTGTGTTGACTAACACTAATCATATGATCCCATTCAACCCGGAAGAATCTAAAATAGGATTCCTAGGATGTTCCTGGAAAGTAAAGATCCAAAAACACTAGACACATCATGAAAGATTGCCATAGTGTTGAGAATTTAGTACTGGACTGCCTGAAGTTTAGTGTTTATGACATATGGTAGACATTGGAAAAGTTTCTTCATTAAGTGTCATTATCCAGCATACAGTATTGGTATTAGCCAGCAAGGATGAAAAGATATCATGTATGAGCAGAATTTGCTTATACTTACTTTATATATTTGCTTACACTTACTTTACTTATCTTCTTAATTTTTTGTTGTGAATATATTTTAAAGGTGGAGATGTTCTTTTTCATTTTTAAACATTTAAAGTTGCACTACTGCATCTTGTCATAATTAACTGAGAAATCAGAAAATTTAAATTTCCAGATATTCTTTGAATCTTTTCTAGATTTATTAAATCTGACAGAAAAAAAGTCTTTACATGGCAATATTTTCATTAATGATTCAAATTTCAAACAATAAATTTTATGGTTCAACTATTTTAAAATCTTTGAGAAGCTAGGCCTAGAAAATTAAATTTCCTGACAGAGGTAAGAATGTCCTCTTCTATGTCTTTTCATTCTGTTATTTATGAGACATAACTACTAATACTTTATGATTTCTGTAAGTTTTGTACTTTTTAAATTGTTCCATGCAAAGCTACATATCATATTATAATTCTTATAATGAGCAGATGTTTATGGTTGTATTTCCAAATATTGATGACTGTGCCAAACACTGTTTAATTTCATTTGTGTGAACATGTCCCTGGAGCAAAGCATTGTAGAGTATTACCAGAGAGTAAGAATCCTAAAAACAGTTCTACCAGATCATATGCCCCAGTGTTGGCCTCTAGTTAGATTAATAATTGATAATCCCCCAAATAATCACTAAATTAACGTATTTTAATAGATATCTATATTTTCATATCAAATGTATTTCAAGTGTCATTTAAGAAACTTTTTCATTGAATATAATTGTTTAGGCTCAGAAATAATATACTGGAATTATGAGAGAGAGAGAATTAATATATATTTTAAGGCATTTTTAAATTTAGTGCCATAAAATAACATGGTATAGTAGAGAAATTCTACAGCTATAACCATATTTGGTTACCTACTTAAATACCTAATTTACTTATCTAGATGAGAAGACTTACTTACTCTACACCAAAAATATATGCATTTATGTAAGCATAAAATGAATATTTATAATCTTAAAAATACTAAAAATCTCTAGTGACTTAAAAGAAATTATAAATCAAATACATTTTAAGGTAATGCAAATAAGAAAATCTATATGTGCATACACACACACAAACATTAACACATTTTGTACTTCAAAGTTATTTTTTAGGACATGACTATTTTTGTTTGTGTTATTAGAGAAAAGTCAAGATAAGTTTTCTTCTTCAGAGAAAAGAGTTACATTTCCAGTGTTCTATCCTTTGGGTTTGGGACTGACCCAAGACATGTCAAACACAATGCAGTGCTACAATGGTCATATAATACTATTCTGCCAAGGTCAACTGTCACAAACTTTCCTAGGATACGAGACAGGTTCTTAATCCTTTTTGACAGATAACCTGGGCGATATGAGTTGTGAGATAAATGCAGACAGATTGACTCTATAGTAAACCTCTTAACTATTTGACTGTATTTTATCTCATTTGAACCTGGTGACCAATGATCAAGAAGTGAATGAAACAACAAGTTTTGTCAGGAGGGAAGTGGTTCTCTGCTAGGAGCAAGAAAACTAAGTGCAAGAATTGTCACCATTTGCTTGTTATAAAACAAATGTCAACAGTAATGTAATGTCAACAATTCAAGACTAAGTTAGAAAAGAAAAAATAGTAACCTGTCACTAACTTGATGGTTAACAGTGAAAGACTGAATGTATTCTCTAAAATCGGGAATCGAGCAAGGATGTCTGCTCTCATTAGCTATTAAATATATTACTATAACTTCTAGACACTACATAAGGTAAGGAAGGATATAAAGGTATGCAAATTGGAAAGGAATTTATAAAATATTATCAATTTGCAGCTGACATTGTAGTCTACTTAGAAAATTACAAGGAATCTACAAAAGCTAAACAAACAAAAAGCTCCTACAACTATGAATGAATTTAACAAAATCACATGATATAAGAACTATACATAAAAACCAATTGCATCTTCACATATTAGCAATAAACACATGAAAACTAGAATTTTATATAATATATTTTATAATCACTCAAAAATAAAATACTTAAATATAAATCTAAAAATTGTGAGGAATATTTACATACTGAATGTTAGAAAACACTGATGAATTAAACAAAGATGTAAGTAAATGAAATGAAGAAACAAATCATTTCATGATTGGAAAATGAATACGTTTCTAATTAACCTATAGGTTTTATGTAATTTCTTTCAAAATTCCAATAATACATTTTGTAGATACTAAAAACCTATTCTTAACTTTATATGGAAAGGCAACAGTATAGAATAACTAAAGCAATTTTGAAAAATATGAATAAAGTAAGACAGATAACAGCTCAATTTTTGGGTTTTTTTTTTTTTGGCTTTGTTTACTTATATACTTATTTATTTTGACAAAAGATCTTGCTATGCTACTCAGATTTAACCTCAAATTTTTGTGCTCAAGCTATCCTTCTGTCTGTCTCTCAAGGAGCTCCCAAATAACTGAGACTATAGATCTGGGAAGCCTGTCACAGTATCCCTGAGAGGTGGGTGCAGGAAGTTGAGGGAATGAAGATAAGAGTGCATGGAGAGCCCAGAAAGTCAGAGATATCAGGGATGTGATGTTTGCCATAGAAAACTGCAGGCAGTGAGCAGAATTAGCCCAAGACAGAAGTCATGTGAGTTCCAACCAGCAGTCCCCAGGTTGTGGGCTGGCCAAGTCCTCTGGAACTCACATCTCAGCACCCTGTGCCCTGGATGCTGGACATGAAGCTAAAGGACATTTTGCCTTTCTGGGTCTTGGTCTTACTTCAGTCTTACTCATTTGTATTACTCTATTTCTCCCTTTTGGAATGGTAATATTTATCCTCTACCCATTGTATATTGGAAATTTTTTACACTTGGTATAGTTTTATCTTTAGATGAAATTATTACCTTGCGTTCCTTTGGAAATTAAGAACTGTTTAAGGAGACATGTTTGGTCTTCAAGTTGATAAAAGGTGGAAAGTAACATAAGCTGGTTTGTCAACATGATTGGCTTAAGAGCTTCCCAAAGGATCAATAAAATGGATGGCTGTACCTGAGTGGGTGAAGGAGGCGTGACCTTGGATACTGGGTCCATGGTCCTTCCTCTGTGGCATTGCTCTCCTGCTCTACTTCCCGGCCATGATGAATCAAGTAGCTTCATTCCACTGTCCTTCTGACCTAATGTTCCTGTCTTGGAGCCAGGCCACAATGGGCTGAAACTTTCCAAACCATGAGCCAAACAAACCTCTCCTCCTTTAAACTGTAGGCATCAGATATTTTGTTCAGGAATGAAAAACTTGAATAATACAAACAGATATAATATTTACAGAACCGTAACATTAAAGAAACTAGTTAAAACAAAATAATATTTCTGGAGCTAGACAGAAATTTCTTTCCCTGGGCAAAAATTCAAATCTACAGTGCACATTTAGAAATTAATTTAATAACATCTGAGAAAAAATAAACTAATTATTTCATTTGAAGTAATAGTATTTTTAATAGTGATACAGTACTTATAATACTAAAAGCTGTTTTAGCTATTTTAGTAGTTCACATGGGGTTTATGAATAAGTTATGTCTTGTTAACCCTATCAAAGTTTGCAGAATATTTTTAGTATACATACTACACCTAAGAGTAAATTGAAAATCGCACATTTAATAAATGAAAAAAATGACAATCCTGATTTTCTACCTTTAACTTCAGTATCCTTCCTGTTACTATACATCTGGTTCTTAAAAGACATTCAATTGATTTACCATGAATAGTTTCATTGCAATAAAAAATGAAATTATTTACAATGAATATTTGCAATTAATTATTTGTAATAATTTAGAATGAATATTTCTATTTGACATATTCTTTGGATTTCCTCTGTAAGGATTAGTTTTCAAATATATTAAGTGCACAGAAAAAAATATAATCTTTAATTGAACCCAGTGAATTACTTTGTAACCAAAAAATGTTCACATATGAAAACCTTTACCACCTTGTAGACCTGCATTTGCAAATTTTAATTCCTAGTTGTCTCAAGTAAAGCAAAACACATTATTACATACAATAAGTAAAACAGTTCTTGTAAAACATACAGGAGGATGATATATTATTCTACTTAAGTGCAGATGAATGAAAGTACAATAGGTGTGACATAGTCAACTTTCTTAAGGAAAAGAAGGTAAATATGCAGAAAAATGTCATCAGTTCTAAAGTTCTTATCTTGTGTTATATATTATTGTGAACAGAAGAGATTATTATGTGAAGGTAATGTTTCACTGAAATATGGAATAAAATAAAGCAATTAGATTTGTTTTTGCATATTAAAATAAAGGAAATATGGTAGCCAAGAAAATGCACTTTTTGCATGTTGGTTATTTCCTGTTGGTGGCTTCATTTTAGCTACTGATTGACATTTGACATTTTTATCTCACACAAAAGAGACTTTAGCAAAGTCAAAAGGCACTGTCACAAAGATAAGGGAATAGTTCAAATTTCCAAGAATAGTATGAATTAATATAGAGGTACCCTATCACTAACATAAAAACATAAGTTTAGGGCACCTTCAAAAATTTCACTTTTTTGGTATAAAAGGAAGGACAACCATTTGCAGTATTTGATGAGCAAAGGAATATTTTTTGTCTGGAAAAATCATAAATAAATTTCACAGTAAGAATTTAGTTGGAATGTAAAAGTCTAAAGGCTCTTGAAAGTTTGAAGATAATTTAAGTCCAAAGAATTTTAAATTCATTGCTAGATGATGTTTCCCTTTGTTTGTTTATTCTCCAGTCCTCTCTGCTCTCTTCCAAATGACTGGCTAATGAAAATCACTCAAATGTTAATTCATGATTTATAACTTTTAGCTAACTAGTATCAGAACTGAGAGCTAAAGACAATTCTAAATTTCAGGAGATTAGCAAGTAGAGCTAACAAATTAAGATTACTTGCTAAGAGGTAAAAGTCATTCACATATTCTTCAAATTACAAATAGCAGGATTAATAATTTGAGAACATAGGTAATAGGAAACGAAATACCTGAGTTGTATCCTTGGCATTTCCTTGCCATTAACATAAATAATTCATCTTACATCCCCAATCTTCAGTTTTCTCAGTTGAAAAATAACATGATAAATAATACTATTTTCATAGGATTTAAGTAGTTATATCTATGCACAGTGTTTTAAAAGTTATCTAGTACAATATAATTAACTACTCAATAAATGTTAAAGATTTAAAATCTTACATACTCCATGAATGATAGGAAAATATTATATTCTCTAAAGATGATAGTCTATTTCTACTGGCACACACTCAGATAACTTCTGGAAAAAAATAATTGAGGAAAATAAAGCACTGATTTTACCAAGAAATTAACTTGTTCATTTGCAAACTCAAGTTCAGTTTTCATTTATGTGTCTATAGTAACTAAGCAAGATGGTTGTCAGTTTGTACAACTGAACATAGTATAAGAGGTTATCATTGATTTTGCTAGAGAATAAAAATCATTATGGGCTTAATCACATTATAAAAATTTGTGAACACTTTTTGTGGAAAATTTAAAATCCATGAAGAACCAAATTGGATTCAGTTGATATAGCTTATAGTCTATATTTCCCCTTGAAATTTTGAAAAGAGCATTTTCCAATATCATTAAATTGCCAACAAAATCATATTTTTAATAAAGGCATAATTGATTTAATGAATTCTGAAAACTTTTTGCAAGTTAATTAGCCTTTTTCCATCTTAGTTTCCTTTTTTGGAGCATGGTGATGATAATAGCTACCCCAAGGAATTATTGTGAAGGCTAAATGAGGTACTGCTTGTGAAAAAGCAGTTGGTAAGCTGGAATTCACTACACAAATATTAATTATTATTAGTTCTGGCAAGCCATTAAGAAGAAAGAGGAAAAAACATGTGATGTGTATATGGTGGGGGCTAGTTTATAGCTTTATAGAATTTTCCCACTTCAAAAAGAGGACTGGGTTTTATATTTTTTCACTTATGGGTTAATTTTATTTCCATAGAAACAAATTCTATCTCTTAAAAAAAAGATAAAAATTAAAAGTCAAAGACGATAAGTAGTTCAAGAATAAAAAACTAAAAATAGGAGGATTTTCATCAAAGTCTACCCTCTATTTGAAGGATTAAAAAATGTGAAGTAAAATTCATTCAGCAATTTCAAAGCATTATTACTTAAAATTTGCATTTTAAGTGTTGTGTAGATATATTTTATTTTAAAGAGCATCAAAGTGGGTATTAACCTTTTTCCTAATTTTACTCCTGAATTTCTTTGTGTTTTATTAAATTCAACATTCAAAAATATTTTCGTTTTGAGAGGAAAATACTTTAATTTTTTAAACATGATTCATTGTTTTAGAAAAGAGTCTATAACTCTCAAAAATTCCATACAAGTGTTCCTATCACATTAAAATACACCAAAAAAAAAAAGAGCCAAGGATGGTTTTTGGGCTAACACTTCCTGGGATATTATTCTTCAAAATGTTGAAGTATGTCAGAGTGTCACATACCTGGCTTTAATATCAGTATCTTCTCTAGCTTAGTAAGGTCATATAGGATGAAAAAGTATCTTAGTGTACCAAAAGCTAATCAAGTGCATGCACTGAGCTGAATGATAGATGTGAGTTTTAGATATAGTTGTGCTACTGATTTGGGCAGTCCGCAAAAGCAAATCATTTAGTATCAGCCTGTCTCTATTTTTGTAAATTAGATAATACCCATTTAACTCTAAAATTTCTTTTCCTGTTGTAAATGTATAAATCATTATTTTACGTCATTTAAGAAGAAAAACATTTGATTATAACTCAAGGCAAATTCCTTCTTAAGTATACAAAGAAATTTTTCAGTTGTCTGTCTTTTGAAACTAAATTCATAACAAGCCCTTTGTTTCCTCCCTGTCTTTCTGCACCTCAAGTGCACATTGGATTTTTCTTTCCCCTGATATGTGGGTTCTCATTGAACATCTCGAAATCCTGCTTGTGTTACTTCCAGCACTACTCTCCTTTCTTTTCAAACTTTTTTTATTTTACTGAGGCCTTGAAATGTCTTATGATTTTAAGCTACAACAGGCTTTATTTCTTGAAATTACACCTTTGTTCTCCTGAAGATTACTTAAGTCAACATGTCTCTACAATTTATGTAGAAAAATCATGATGAAAGATTAAAAAGGCAGTTTTCTTGTTCCTTTTCTAAATATTTTAGAAGAGAGCCCTAAGGGATAAACATACCAACAGAGAAAACAATGTTCTCTTCTCATTCCCATATTATTTACATTCCATTTGAGGAAATATGTCTTAGAGGGTAAGCATCTGACAAACAATAAACCACAAGCAGTTGATGAGTCAATAAGTATTCATAGAGTGGCTAATAAGTAGCTAGCTGACTGATCAATTGTGTGGTCCAGATGAGGACCGCAGGAGTTGAGAGAAAATTTTACCTCTGTGAAATACCATGCTTCCAAGGACTTTTCTTCTACACATTATATGCTTCTGTAAAGAACGTTTGGTATGTTGGCCAAGGACCAAATTAGTCAACTTCTTTGAAGACGTCTACATCTAGGCTTCCAAATTCACTCTGTAACAAAAGCAAAGAAGCCAGGATGAAGCAAAAACAGAGATAATGATGTTCATTAAAAGAGACCTCACTCAGTGAATGAGCAGTTCTACCCACAAAACATTCCAAAGGAGAAAAATGTGAGACTGCTTGATTTAGAAAAAAGCCTCTCAGGAAGTGTAAAGCTCAGCTTTAATAAGTTTAGATATAAAAATTGCTACACTAATTTATTTGCTTTTACAACCTTCCCTTTTATCTATTTCCAAATTATTTTAAAATAATATTTTATTGTATGAATTCAGATTAATTTTATTGTAATTAATTTTTGGATACTGACATTTCTCAAATATTCTCTGACTGAAGATTTGGTCCATTCATTGCTTATTTTTAGCTAATGCTTCATTGTAAGCACTAAACAAACTAAACATGGGGTGATATAGAAGAATTGAGCTAAGATATTTTATAAGACTTTTTGGAGATAATTGATTCATTGAGTTTTGTTGAGCAGGTGATCACTGATGTTCAGTTTCAATTATTGATTCATCATTGCTGACATTTTCCTTTTTCCTTGTTTTTCATGATTGAATTCTATGAAAAACAGTAGTAACCTCAAATATACAAACCAAAGGATTCCTTTAGGCTCTGTGTTGGTACTTTGATTTTCTTGTTTCTACCCTTTTCAAAGGAGGATGTACACATAGCCGATGTTTTGAAAAAATGTTCAGCATCTTTATCAACCAGAGAAATGTAGATCAAAATGACACTGAGTATTTATCTCGCCCCAATCATAAGGGTTATCATCAAGAACACAAAAAATAATAAATGCTGATGTGGATGCAAGAGAAAAGCAACCTTTCTGCACCATTGGTGGGAATGTAAATAAGACAGCTGCTGTGGAATCAGTATGGAGGTTTCTCAAAAAAATTTTTAAAAACTAAAAATAGACATCCTGTAAGATTCAGCTATATACTTTCTAGACATATTCCCAAAGGAATTACAATCATTACAAGGGGTGCCATGTTTATCATAAGACATGTGATAGCCAAGCTATGAAATCAACCTAGGTGCCCATCATTGAATGAATGGATAAAAAAAATGTGGTGTATATACACCATGGAGTATGGTATGTATTCACTCATAGATATGAACCATATCAGGTCATTTGCAGGAAAATAAATGGAACTAGAGTTCATCAGGTAAAGGGAAATAACCTAGACTTAGAAAGACAAGTATTACATGTTTTTCCTCATATGTAGAATTTAGGGGTGAAAAAAGATGTCTTGAAAGTAGAATGCAGATTATTAGATAAAAAAGAAAGGGATGAGGGAATGGAAAGGGAGAATGGTAGTAGATAAAATCAAAGTATGTTATATGCATGTATGAAAATGTCACAATGTAACTCAATATTTAGTATTATAAATATGCATTCATGAAATTGAAAAAGTATAACTCCTGATTTGTTTTCTTTATAAGAAAATAATGGAAAAGAATAATTTGAATTTTTAGGTTAAAAATATTCTTCTAGTTCCAAAATTTACTGAACAATTATCCATACTTTTCAAAAGCAAAAAAGCAAGATTTTTCAATAGATTTAATTATGTTTGATACCTTTCTTGCATTTTTATTTTGATATACTGAAAACACTTATCTTTATTTTTTCATACCTTTTTATTTTAATTTAGATTATCAGAAAAAGAAGAGAAAAATCTTACTAATATTATGGTTTGTCTGACAAAGACTGCAAAACCTGTCCACTATTCACATCTGCCTCCATAGCAACTCTGTACCTGTGTATAGCATTGAAAGTACCCCAGTTGAAAATTGCTGGCCTATACATTCTCTCTTGAGTTCCAAAAAATATATTTCATACAATTTGTTGGAACATCAAAATTAATATATACCATACTAACCTCATTATGTTTTCACTCCAAGCACCCATTTCTTTAAGTCGTTCCTCATTTTATTTTACTTATTTTTTCATTCTGTATAGCAGTGATACCGAATCTTGTAGAGACCAAGTGCCCAAACTGCAACACAAAATCCACTTATTTATCATAAAGTGCCAACACTGCAATTAAACCTGAATACTAAATGGCCTTGTGAATTCCTGAATGAGTCTCAGCTAATGAGTGGTTGCTCATGATGTCATCACTGGGCCCGCTACTCCTTTCTGAGCTTGCACGTGGACCCTGTGTTCACTGTTACTCAATGGTTGGGTTCTGAGATTCTGGGGAGAGTTGGCTGGCATGCAGACAGAAAAGGTACTGTGTGCCTGATGCAGCATGCATGCCATAGGTTTGCCACCACTGCTATATACCATCAGTTAGAAAGCCTTGAATCATTTTCACTTCCCATTACACTTTTTAAAAATATTCTCCAGCACCAAGTCAATTACTAAAAACTCTCAGTTCAGCTCAAAATTGCTTTTCAGAATCTGGCTTTTCTTTGTCCTCTGCTAATGTTTCCTTATTGAAACTATATCTCTCTCTTGGCTTATACAATTATGCATTAGCAACAGACTCTTCTTCAACCCGCCTATTTTTAATGAATTTATCAGAATTCTCTTCTTAGAAAGTATCATTTAATTATCCAGTCAATTGGTCATTATTTTTATTCAACAAATTTTATGTTTTTCCTTGTATGAATTTGATTTTGATTTTGATTTTCTTTTCAGGCTGGCTGCTAGTAAATATGTACCATGTTTATAGTTGACCCATTGCAATTGTGTAAATTCACTGGTAAATGCATGGGTTCAGTGGCTTCATTTTTCCCTCCACTTTATATATACCTTCTTGTTTACTTTTTATATTTTTGGTTATCACTTTCTTATGATAATTTCATAATCATGATTAAGTTATGACATAAGGCAATCCATATATGAAATCAACCTTGCACATATTTCGAACGTTATCTTACTGGATTCAAGTGTCTTTCTGAGGTTCTCATAAATCATAAGATAAAGCATAAACAGTTTAGCATGAATGCATCTTCTGGCAATCATAATTGTTCAGTATCAATTCCCACCAGCTAGTGTTCATGAATACTCATTTCTGAGGATTTTTGGAATAAATAAAGCTTTTCAATTTGTCATGTCTTTTTTTTTTTTTTTTTCCTTTGGTACCGGGGATTGAACTCAGGACCTTCTGCTTGCCTTGGCAGGTGGCGGAACCACTGAGCTAAATCCCAGGCTAAACTTGCCATGTCTTTATATTTATGCTGATATTCTCAAACGTCGACTCTCAAAAACAATTTTTCATAACATAGATATAAGAATTCCTTGTACAGAGTTAGTATTATGTAAATTTGAAAATACCACTGTCTTCTGAAGATTTCATTACACAATTGCTTAAGCAGCAGTATTTCTCTAATAGATATTAAGAATTACCATATGGAGGGGTTGAAGGGAGGGCTGGGCAAGGGTGAAAAATAAGAACCAAGATGCATTATGTAAAGGTATAATTCCCAATGAGAAATGTAATTGTGTTGTTATCTACAATGTACCAATAAAAGAATTTAATAAAAAAAAAAGAATTACCTAAGGCATTTGTTAAAAGTCATGGATTTTCAGAACTGTTTAAGGAAATATTCTCAATCATATATCCTAGATAAGTTCATGAAATTTATTTCATTGGTTTTAATGTGTGACCGAAAGTAGTTTTATAATTTTAAAAAATTGAGAAACACTTGTTAAAGTTACTGAGAATTCTTCAGAAAAATTTTTTTTACCATACTTTAACTCAGTATTTGTCAAGCATATTCTAGTATGGTTACTTTCTGAGTTTTTTGTTTTTGCAAATTGGATATATCTTTATTAAATGTATTGTAAAAATGGTATTTTGTTTTATGACAAAAGACTTTCAGATTTATACATATTTATTGGTGATAGTATGATAATTTGATGCATGTATACAATATGTAATGATCAGATCATAGTAACATTCCCTGTCTTAAACTTTTTTTCTTTATATTGGGAAGCTTAAAACTCCCCTTATCTAGTTATAAAATATATCATATTTATATATTTATAAAATATATACTAAATTATTATATACATATTTATCTGACATCTACTTTTTTCAGAAAATACCTTTAAAGATACTGGTTTGTTATTTTCTTTAAACAAAATTCTCTTCCTATCCAGGAAATTCCTGGATATCCTTCAAGACTCAACTCAAAAAAATTTTTCTCCATGAAAAGTTTCCTAATCTCTTCACATTCTAGTGCCACCATTACAACATTTATGTAATTATATTGTATTTCTCTAGTCATGTGTATTACTATTTTAACAAGTAAACTTTCCCTCTAAATTCTGAGCAACTTCAAAGAAAGGAATATGCCTTAGTTATTGATATATATCAGTGCACTGCTACATAAACAATACCTGATGAAGGCCTTTGATAAATAATTCATGAAAGTTTCCGTAAATCAATGGAAAGATATCACCAGAAGGTCTAGAATACTTATGGACCAGGCAACACAAAGTAAACATAATAACTGTAATAGTGAAACCACAATTTTCTTCTTTATACTGATCTTATTCATGACTAGGATATATGTTAAAATAATCTTCATATGAAATCTTAGAAAACAGTATTCCTAGATTTAAGAATGACTACCACTTTCTATGTTAAATTTCTCTTCTAAATTTTTTTCTTTGTCTACATTTTCCTGGAATGTTTTTTAACTGGAAAATAACATCAGAATCAATATTTTCTGCCAGGGATTTAGCTCAGTGGTTCCGGCACCTGCCTCACAAGCACAAGGTCCAGAGTTCGATACCCAGTACCAAAAA